TTAAAAAAATTTGAAATTTATTAAAAATATTTTCATTTACAAATATTTTTTTTATAAAAAAAAATATTATAGTTTGATGCTAATTCGAGGCTAAAATGACGTTATCTTAGCGTCGATTTCGCATCGACATAAGACTGATCCGATGCTAAATCGACGCTAAATTAGCGTCGAAAACAATCGATGCTATTTCGATGCTAAATTAGCGTCGAATTAGCATCGAAATATAGCATCGTTTTAGCGTCAATTTTTCCGATGCTAAAATAGCGTCGATTTAGCATCGGATCCGTCTTATGTCGATGCTAAATCGATGCTAATATAACGTTATTTTAGCATCGAATTAGCGTCGAAATCGGTTTAGCGTCGACAGATTAGCGTCGAATTGTTATTCGACGCTAAAACTGTGTTTTCTTGTAGTGCCCATCACATGGACATATCAAGAGGATTTCGAGATATAAAGAGGCACCAAGCAACTTTCCTTATTTGGCCAAGCAATCTCTTCCAACGGTTATAATTCGATCATGATCTTTTCCTTTAATGTTCTTTGACTTATTTGAGAGTAATTAGCTTCCTTATTTTTCTTTGTGACCGGTTGTTATTGTCTAGGGACGAGCAATAAATAAGCTCATCTTCTTGAATCATTTGAAGACACCTTTTTATCAATCAAAAATCAAGTTTATACTTTTAAGCTCTTTTGCTTTGTCTCTATTGTTTTTCTAGTCTTTAGGTGGATTCCTTAAGGATAGAAAACGTTTGAATATCAGTCATTTGTGTGGATTCACAAAGGCTAAGGTTTGTTGGTTTATCTCAAAGGCTCTCCATACCTTTGAGTGGCACTCTTCGATCCATCAAGCTTGTAAATTCTCGACTATCTTGTGATCACTTCGATTGGTGGATTCCAATCTTATATCATTTGGTATCAGAACTCAAAAGCTCCTATCTTCCAGGTTTTATCATTTCTTTTCATTAGTTTTGTCTTTGCTTCATGAAAAACGAAAATCCATAAAAAAAAAAAAATCTTTTTGTCGTATTTCTTTGTTTTTCTTTTATAAAATTGTAAACGAAATAAGAATTTGTTTCTGTTTTGCTTCTTTCAATACCATAAATTTAAAAGACCATAAAAATTTCGTTAGTTTCATTTTGAATCATTTTGTTATTATATTGTCTCATAAAAAAAAAAATCTTTGCTTTAAATTTATTTCTGTTTCACTACCAAACAAAAAAAAAATAATCAGAACAGTTCAAAGTATTTGTTTCCTTGTGTCGTTTGATTTCTTTTTAATAAAATTAAAAAAAAAAATTTCCAACTTTATTCCATTTTTGCCGTTGACAATTACACTAAGATTACAAGAGGACATTTTGTTTCTATATCTAGTGTTGCTCATAATAAAACTCGAATATATACATCTTTATTCTAATGATACTGATTTATTTCTCTTGTAGTTTTCTTGCAAGGCACACGAGGAGCTAAAGCATCAATGGGTGAATATTCAGATAGTGAGCTCAGCTACACTCAGTCCGAAACAGAATGGAAAAAGTCAAGCATGTGTCAATGGAGAGAAGAAGATGACAATGAAGGGATTGCTCATGGAGATGATCAATGGACGGAAGATGATGATTGTCTAGGAGATTTTGAAGATGAATCAATACCAGAGATAGTTGAACCAAAGCCACTAGACCATACACATCACATCTCATGGAGTTACATATCTCAGACATCATTTCAAGCCATATACAAAACCCGAAGAAGGTTATCTCTAGATGATGGCTATGAATACTTTGGACCCGAGTTCTTTAAATTTCAGGTGGAAGAGCAGGCTATCTAGAATGGGAAGGAAACATGAATGAATACTTTAGGTGCCACACCATCTGTGGGGAAAAGTAGCTGTTAATGCTGGTTATTGTGAGAGTTACTGTGTTGAGAGAGGGAGAGAGAAGACAAATACACAACTGCTGTGTCCCGAAGAAAGCTTTGAAAAGCAGCAGAATCTTTCTGAAAACGTCTCAAAAAACTTGTAGTCCAACATCTGCTTGAAAAACAAATGCAAAGTGAGTAAGGGGAACATAGGTTGTCTTGACTAAAGAATACTTGATTACAAAATGGGATCCCCATTTGCTGGTTTTGGTGGTTGAGATAATCTAAGAGGAGTTCTGGTCCGGTAAATCCAACAGATCGCGACGAGCCTTCCCTTGCTGGTAGATGAGAACAACTTGGCACATCAGATCCGCATTGAAATGTTGCAGTCACTGTCTAAAATCCTAGTCAGAGGTAAGGATCACCAAAAAAAAAAGGTTCCGGTTGCATTAAAGTATTGTAGCACGTCTTGGAATCTATATTTGATATATTTGTCCGCTGCTTGCTTAAGTTCTGATAAAAAATAAGGTATTTATAAATAAGCATACTATAGCAAAAAAAATCACCAAATAATAGAATCTGATGCCAATTACTTACGTGTATGTAATACTTCAACCGGTATTCCAGAACGTTGGAGTGCTGCCTGACGGAAGGGTGTAAGATGGTAAGGCTCTAGATTTGCCACCACACCTTCGATAGAAAAATTGCCATAGAATCCCATTGACCGGAGAAAACGCACAAGAGCCGCACAAACCTGAGAAGGATTGAAACCATATGGGATATTGTTTGATTCAATATCCCATAGTCCCTGGATTTCATCCTGCACATTCCAAAAAAGCTTCAATGTCCCATACACTACTTGTTAATATATAAGTGGAACTCGAGAATAGAGTTGAGATACCTGATTCATCGTTTGGGGTTTGGTATAAAAATCTGTTTCAAAACAATGAAACATCAGTAGGCAACAATGGAACAATAATCAACGGAATAAAAAATAACAATCTGTTTCAAAACAACGAAACATCACCAAGATCAATCACAAAACTGAACGTATTAGTATCATGCAAGGAAAATATATACAGAGACTAACCCTAGATCAGGCATAAAACACAACGAACTGCTCATCTAAACATAAAGAGAAAGGAACAAAAGCAGAAGTAAC